TAATACGCTTGATTATGAATGCAACTGTATAGAGCGGGGCTAGGTTTTACATATCCCATCCCCGACCCCAAACACATCCTGCTCCATACCCCAATGGGGCTATAAATCCCAGCCCCATCCTTGTACTTGTGGGGAATGGGGATCACCAAATTTGCCCCACCCTGCCCCGACCATTTCTAGCTAGCATGGTTCATTCACATTTTGGGTTGGACTTGAACTTGCCATTTGTCCAAATTGATTATTTCTTTTGCAAATTCTTCTAAAAGTTCTAATATCTTTATGCTTTAATTTTTAAAGGGTATGCCACTAATTTGATTTATCAATTATCAAGTGGCTTTTGGTATATCTCTTTGTAAAAAGTGATATGTATGTATATATATGTATATTGATGCGGGTTTAGGGTTAGTTGATACCCAGATTAAAATAGTTTTGGATTTCTCTGAAATCCACCTTGACCAGGGCGGGTCCCATTGGGGGCAGATCAGATTGCCATCAGTATGCTTGATGGAAAATTAAATGCAGGTATTTTGAATAGCGAGAGAGAGAGAGAGAGATAGAGAGAGATGTAAACCATTTTATTAGGGATGTGAGATAGTTTAAGAGATGTTTTACGTGGAGAAATTTTAGGTGGGGGAAATGTTTTAGGTGAATATGTGTGAGAATATAATAAAAATGTTAAAAATAGAAAATTAGATAAATAATGGAGAAGGCAGAAATGGACTACTGACATGGACAACTGCATTTTAAGTATATAGAGTAGATTGGTCAACATTGATTAGAAGGCACAAATATAAAAGTGATCTGTTTAAGTTGGATTCATTTAGCCATAATTGGATTGGTTTAGATGTTGCTTGATTCGATCCACTAGGTTTTGATCCAATCTGATTATACATTTTATTTGAATATATAACCTAATATTATTTAAATCTAAGTTTTACATATTTATCTAATCACATTCAATCTCTTGCATTCTTACGGGATTAGATTTAGATATTACCCATCTGAATTCAATTTAATCAACCTGTAACCCAACTTCGAGTGGCTGGTTGGTATGAAATAGTATATAGTTGAAACATCAATAGTCTCATGATACAAGGATATGCTAATATGTTTTTCTTTCTTTCTTCTTTATTTAATTTTCCGGTGGTGTGTCTATTCAGACATTGGATTTATAGTTAAATCTGGTCTCTCTCTCTTTGGTAATTAGAACTTTCATTACAAAATATAAATAACAAAGAGAACAGCACAGCAAGACTAAAAAAGCAAACAGAAATAGACAGAGAACAAAATCCCACACACAAATAAACAAAAACTCTACACAGAACAAGACAACTGAAAAATCCATAAAAAAAACTCGGCACAGAAACCAAAATAGCTAATGCTTAAGGAGGCTCCCTGTTGTGGCTATCCTTTAGCTACACTCATCAACCAGGGGTTAGTGATATTGTCTTAGCATACGATTTTTAAATTAAATCAGCAAAATTCCATCCATAGGCAATTCTTTTCCCAAGTGAAATAAAATTGTAATGTTGTGAAGAGCTCTCCCTATTGAACCTTCTTTTGCAAGTATGCCAAGGACAAGAATTATCACTTCTTTTGACTTGCAAGATAAAAGGACAAGAATCAGCTTAGCATAATTCTCGATCTCTAGAAATACCATAAGGCTTAGTTGGGTTGAAGCACAGTTTCTTTTGAATTAGCATAAATAATGCATGGAAGTATAAATAGGTTGAGCAAGGTTAAAAGTATTAGAAATACTAAGCATATTGAAAAGGTAATTTTAAGAGACATATCGGGATACATCTTGGATATGCATGCATATAAGAGAAAAACTAAGATACACATAGATACACTTGGAAATACTATAAATACTTTAATGAATCATAAAAATACATCAATAACACTAAATATAAGACCTCAATGTGGTGTATATACATTAAATTAATATACTCTAATGGTTTTATGAAGAAATATATTGTAGTTAATTATAATTTCATTAAAAATTAAATCCTATCCTTAAGTATAATTTATAAAGTATAATTCTTAAGTTTTAAATTTTTATGGGATGGGAAAAACCCAAATCTCCTATCTAAACATAAAACATGCATTGGCACAACTTCTAAGTGAAAATAAAATTAATAATTATTGTTTATTATTTATTTCCAAAAATTATAATAACTCAATAAACATTATATAATATATTCAAAAAATAGTTATTAAAGAAGAAACCTCAATTGCTTTGTGGATATGATAGATCATCCATAGAATTATAATATATTCAATCATTGTGATCAAATGATAAAATATAATTAATTAATTAATTAATTTTTAATTCTAAAAATATAAATATAAAAAAATAATTATTTAAGAAGAAATTTCAATTTATTTGTGGATATGATAGAACATCCATAGAATTATAATATGTTCAATTGTGGTGATCAAATGATAAAATATAATTAATTATTATATATTTTTTTAATTCTAAAAATAAAAAAAATAGTAAATAAGAAATTTCCAATTGCTCTATGGATATGATAGATAAATCCATATATCTAAAACATATTTAGATAATATAAAAAATTGAAAAATCTTACCTATTTTTTCCATACTTTTTCAATATTTGAAAAATCTTAAAAAATAAATTAATGATTCACACTTGTTTCTTGCAAATTTTTGCAAATATATCACTCTAGGAATGAGGTTTGGAGTTTTAGAGACATTTGGGGGGTGGAAGAAGGTTTATTTTAGGGAAAAGAAGTTTGCTTTCCCCCTTTATTTTTTTTTAGTTTTTGGCCGTATCTTTTTTGTCGATACGCTATTGATATGCCCCGAGACAGCCCTGATACACCCTTGATACAGTTTGATACGCATGAAAAAAAAGACGAGATGCTTGATTTCCATGCATATCTCGTATATGTTTTTCAAAGATACGATACGATATGCCCCTTATCGTATCGAAATTTTAAACCTTGGTTTAGTGTCATTTGGGGGTGGAATAAGGCTTATTTTAGGGAAAAGAAGCTTGCTTTCCTCCTTTATTTTTTTTCCAGTTTTTGACCGTATCTTTTTCATCGATATGCTACTGATGTGTCCTGTATCGGGCATATCATATCGAAATGTTAAACCTTGGTTTTAGAGTCATTTGGGGGGTGAAAGAATGCTTATTTCAGGGGAAAAACTTGCTTTCCCCCTTTATTTTTTTTTCAGTTTTTGGTTGTATCTTTTTCGTCAATACGCTACCGATATGCCCCGATACACCCCCGATATGCCTCAATACACCCTCAATACAGCCCGATATGCATGAAAAAAGATGAGATGCCCGATTTTCATGCGTATCCCATATCTATTTTCCAAAGATATGATACAATACATCCCGTATCAGGCATATCATATCGAAAATTTAAACCTTGGTTTTAGTGTCATTTGGGGGGGGGGGGKGAAAGAAGGCTTATTTCAAGGAAAAAAAACTTGCTTTCCCCCTTTATTTTTTTTTTGTTTTTGGCCGTATCTTTTTTGTTGATACATTACCGGTATGCCCCGATACACGCTCGATACAGTCTAATACGCATGAAAAAAGATGAGACACCCAATGTCTATGCGTATCCCATATCTGTTTTTCAAAGATATAATATGATACACCCATTGAAATTTTAAACCTTGAGGTTGAGTGTAAATTCTGCTTTACTTTTGCTTTGACTGTCTTATTTGTTTGTAAGAAGTAAATAGAAAGTAAAATGATGTTATCCCCACCTTATATATGCAAGAGAATGGAGGTAGAGGGAGGGCTATCTGTTTAGGAGAAGCTAAATGATGTGGTCCTCACTTTATATGAGAAAGAATTGAAGTACGTGGAAGGTGATTCAAATTCCATTTGTTTTTGAGATGCAAAATCTGCACTATCAAATTGTGAAAATGAGGTAAAAGTATGAATTCTATATTAACTATAAATACAAATCATAATTGCAAATAAACAGATGCAAAACTGAATTAGGTGCAAAATTTGTTTCCAGTTTAGATTTACATTACAAACAAAGAGAATTGAGGTAGGGGGAGTGTTATCCGATTAGGAGTGAGGTAGGAGAAGCTAGATGATGTGGTCCTCACTTTTATATGACGAAAAATTGAGGTAGGTGGGTGGTGATACAAATTTCCATCAGGTTTTGAGATACAAAATTTGTACTACCAATTTGTGACAATGAGGCAAAAGTACAAATTCTGTATTAAATGAGTGCAATTCATAATTACAAACAAACAAACTGAGTCAGGTGCAAAATTTATATCCAGTTTAGATTTACATTACAAAACAAAGAGAGTCTAATAAAGAACAAAAGAAACAAAGTATGCCCATTGTTTTCTAGTTTCTACATATACAATCGAAATTAATAATTGCCATCTATGGAGCTGGGTTGTCTCGGTTTGAGGTCAACTAATTAGCTAGCCCTACTCAATCTATTAAAACTTCAACACTAAACTAAATCTAACATCTTCAGCCCGTGGCTCTCATCCACCTTAATGCATTTGATCAGGCTGATCTCAGCAGATTAGAACCTTCCCAATGAATTACAAATACATGCATACATACATACAAACTATTATAATCATGCAAGCGCATAAGTTATATATGAAAATGATTCATAAACATGATGTCATAGTGGTATGTCCCAATAAACTACGCTTTATCAACATCTTCTCACATAAGCATACATATGCATAAATTAATGCATGTTTTCAGCAATATTATAGAAGTGGTTATTTAATTAGTAAGAATTCAAACTTGAAGGCATTTTTCATTCTTTTCCTTTGCATGGTATAAATACAAATAGAAGTGGTTATAGAATTTTACATACACATATATAAATATTTTCGTTAGTTCCGGTTGAATTTCAAGCAATCAAAGAGTTCCATCAAGTTAGGATTTTTGTACAATGCATTAATTCATATATATATATATATATATATTATTTTACCATATATGTTAATTAACATTGGAGCTACCTACTCTATGAAGAAGCTCCAACTGATAAGAAGTCTATGAATGCAACGCCAGCCTTTCTCTCTTGCTTGTTAGATTTCTGTACCACCTCTTGCTCATCCCTTCTTTCATGGTCTACCACTTCACTTCCATTAGAGCTGGTGTTCCCTTGGAGAAAATCATAAAACTGAATTGGGTTATTCCCATCTGCAGTTATTCAGATCAAGAATTAGAATATGATCATAATTAATCCAGAAAACAACTTCAGTCGTCGTCTATGGTGAAATTGAAGAGGTTCTCTTGCTATAGGCATTATACACAGTTTTACCTGCAATCTTGGTGCAAAATCTAGGAATCTCAGGATGGATGTACTCTTTAGGACAAAGGAGATGGCTTTGTATGCTTGGACTCAAATGTCTTTGATAGTACTTTTGCGCCAAGGAAGCAAAGTCTGAGGGCTCATCGTTCAAATTCACATCTTGTTTCAACAAAGATTTTGCCTCATTAATCAACATTTGAGCAGCTCTCTTTCCATAGAATCTTGATCTCTCTTTACATCTTCGTGCCACTATCACATGCCAGTGGTTCTTCACTGCATTGTCAGTACGCCCAGGGAAAAGCCGTGCAATAACTGCCCATCTGTTGCCATAGACCCGTTGAGATGCAAGAAGCCGTTCTTCTTCCTCTTCTGTAAAAGGGCTTCTGTTGATCCTTGGGTCCAATTGGTTAAACCACCTCAACCTACAACTTTTCCCTGAAATATGCCAACAGTTTACAAATTAAAAGAGAAGATTTGTTTCTCAGATGTCATATAGATGTTAGATCTATTGATAGTCCAACCTAATATTCATGCTTTAATGTATATCTAAAATTCTTCTGTAGATAGTAGAATGAGAAGCAGTTAGTTGCTGCATCCCAAATTCTTGATTATTGTGCATTAATTACCAATCCAATTAATGGTATTATAAGTTGCAATCCTTCTAACTTCTGCATAACAAGGTTCTCTCTAAATATATAGCAAATAGAATTCTGATATTTATGATATTTTACCATTCCTTCTTTCGAAGTTTAATTCTGTATGATATTTGCATAAGGGTCGATTGAATACAAAACTAATTAACGAGGCCCTCTGCGTGGATCAGGCGTATTCTCCATGATCAAGTAGATTTTTTTTGTAAAGAAAAAAAAAAAGAAAAAAAAAATCTTTGCACCTGATCTTCCAGGAAGCTTTTCAGCTATGGCTTTCCAGTTATGAGGCCCATACCGTTCCACTAATTCCCCGAGTTTCTCATCTTCATCTGGCCTCCAATGGCCTCTGGTGCACATAATTCTAATAAACTGAAAAGAAGAAGAAGAACCCAACTCGAAGTTGAAGTTTCAATTCTTTCCTGTTTTCTTTTTCTTTAGTTTCAAAAAGAAAAAAGAAGAATACTAGGGAAACAACACAATATTGAAAGACGGAGAAGGACGAAAGTATTGTACTGAAAAAGATAACAGATGTTTCAAAGACTCATAATTTTTAAGGATTCAATATATTAATTTGGGAAACCAAGACAAGCAGAAAAGAAGACCCCAACAGAATAAATACGGACAGCAGTAGTATATCCGAACTTCTGTTAGAGGCTAGGGGATAGATCGGAGAGTTCCGCAACTATGCTTGATGCAAGCGTCCTGGCTAACAAAGGGCTTATAACATGAGAGAGAGAGAGAGAGAGAGAGAGAGGTTGCTTAGTAGGGTGAATTTGGTTATCCTTTCAAAATCTGTCAACCTAAATTATTCCCTCGTTTTCTTTTATAACTTATTGAAATTAAATAGAATATTTGTGTCTTTTCATAGTGAATGACACTAACAGAAAAACCCCACTTGGTTGTTGGCTGAGAAAGCTGCTTATATTCAATATATTATTACAAGACATTGCCCCTACTTAATACTTGTTTACTGTACCTAACAAAAAAAAAAAAAAAGAGATTATAAAACTCATTGTGTCATTTACACAAACAGAAAGTAGTTAATCTATACAAGTATATATATAAAGATGTAGTTATTCTTACAATTAGTTAAAACAATCTTACAATGTTTTTGGGGGGTTTCTACTTTTGGTGGCGTTTTCGTACCTAACTAACAACTGCCATGGAACCTGAGAAACACACGTCGAGATTGTGCCAGTAAACTGCTGAACCTAGATTCACCCATACGGTCTATTGTCGTGATTAGCTAGCTTGTCGAAAGCCTAAGACCTTAACTAGAAGGAAGTACAAAAACAACCTAATCTGTGGAGAAAATAGTACTCCTCAAATCCCTTTTAATTTCCCTTGAATTGTTTATATGTCAAGTAATTCACTATTTAAAGAACAAGAAGAAATTTGGAATTCCTCGTTATAGAAGTTTATTTGTTGCACCGTACTTGGTTGAGGGCCTGTAGTCATGATGATGACAGTAAGGTTGGATGTTCAATCCATTTTTTCCTCATGTTCAACACTTTCTTACCTGCTAAGAAGCTTTTGCTTCGATGTTAGTCTTGCTTTTCCAAACAGGGGATTTCATTGTTATTTTCTCACAGAAGTTGTAACTCTGAATACGAAATTTCAAGTGACAAGGAACCAACCCTGACCTCACATGTTGGAATGGAATAAATATTTTATTTTGACTAACAAATACATATAAGAAGAAAATGGAAGTATGAAGCGTATAGTAGATTGGAAAAAATATCTCAGTAAGCTACACAGTTTCAAGGAGAACAATCAACTCACCAATGACCTTGCCAGTATTGCGTGTGATTGAGATATTAGGTTTGGTTTGACCAGAACATGCTTCCTCTGGAAATGTACTTAGCTTGTAAAAGTTGGGAATAGAGTCCAGCTCCAATGGGTTATCTGTATGTCATATCTTATGATGAAAAGCTAGGTCTTGTAGTTAGCTTCTGAATGTTTTTCGGTAAGTTATTTATCCGGCAGTTATCTGGTTAAGTTTTTTCTGGGAAATATTTATCTGAGTAAGTGCATTTATCCATGTTCTTTTATTTCTCATGTAAATAAGGCAATGACCATTTTATCCATAAAAATCCATTATTAAAAAGGGCATTTTTGTCTTATTCAAGTGTTGGCAACTTTCCCCCTAGGTGGGAAAGTTATTTACCCACCTAGGAGATGGGTAAGTGATACCCAAAAAAATGAACTTTCTCTAATCCCCACATAAATCTTAAAAAGGAACATGGGATTCTTGGTCAATAGGAACCAAAATCCCATTGACCAACTTTACCCCCTTTCAAAATCCGAAAAAAGAACGCCCCCTTAATAGCTTTTTAATTTCCTAGGGTAAGATTTCCGTAGAAATAAGCAAGGCTGTATTTTGGATGGACAAGATAGTTACTGGTCAGTATTTAGAATGCTGTCTAAGAGGTGGGGGAATATTTAATTTGATCCCGAGTATAAAAATTCTAAGTTTATAACAAAGATAATTAAGCTAGTACATTCAATCAATTTATCTGTCTTTATTTTATTCTTTTTATGCAGTTATCTCAATATTACCTTTTAAAAGAAGGAAAAGGCAGGGAAGGGATGGGAAAACTAAACACAACCTTAAGGAATAGACATGCACCACCATATACATGGGTCCTTGGGTGATTCAATTCATTTGTTTCCTTCTAATCTTTCAAATTCAATATAAAAGGTCAAAATGGCCCAAAAAAGGATTTTTATGGTTAGGGGTGCAAATGGATCGGATCCATCTGAGATCCAATCATATTTGATCGAATTCGGATCACCCCTGGTCGGATTTTCAAATCACCCTCCCTATTTGATCCAAGAAGATCCGATCCAAAGTGTTATATATTTATAAATATAAATATATATTTATATGTTATTTATTTATTTATTTATAAATAAATATATTTTTTATTTATTTATAATATATTTATAAATATAATTTGTTATAAATATCTACTCAATATAATATATATTTATAAATATAAATATAAATATATATATGTTATTTATTTATTTATAAATATATTATTTATATTGTATTTTTATAAATTTGTTATATTATTTATTTTTTTATAAAAAACATGCATATATATGATGAAAATAATTAAAAAAATACTTGTATTCTTTGTGGTTCTTTATTTAAATTGGTATATTTTATTTTTTTCTTTTAATAATTTATTAACTTTTAAAGAAAACAAGTTGGATCAAATCAGATCCGAAGATTCGAATATCCAATAGGATTTGAATTCAGATTGAGTTCTACCAAATCCGATTGGATCCGACATGAGCAATGTCGGGATCAGATTCAAGTATACCCTAATTTGAATCCGACCCGATCCATTTGCATCCCTATTTATGGAAAAAATAGTGGGGTAAGGCACTAGTGGCCCAACACATAGATTTTGAAAAGTTACTCAAAATCAAAAAAAGAAAAAGAAAAAGATCTCACCAATTAGACATCAGAATACAAAGTTATGGCCAACCTCTTGAAATTTGTACTTATATTGAGTAGTGTGCAACCCATAAGCAGGTGACCAAGTTGAACGGGTTAATGGTTGAACCACCAAGGTTGGATAGTTTTTTATCAAAACAACATTTTTTACCAAATAACTGATTTCAATAGAACCAGACTTAGAATCAACGCCAAGTGATAGTTCAAACGGTTCAATTGGTTAGGTCAACAATAAGTCGAAAGCACTGGTGATATGTAGGGAGTTCTAGCTGGGTACCTGATTTTAAAATTTTAGACAGAACTGGGCTTGGCCCTTCAAGTTGAGCCCATTCAAAATTTAACAAACCTTCAATCAAGCCCAGCCAAGTTGCATGCCCTAGTATGTGATGCGGGCTTAGGTATGCAGATCATTGACATATTCATTCAATCAAGCCCAGCCCCTTCTACACTTTTTTTTAGCAGATCCCGGTCCTTAAAACAGAGCATATGAGCATTAAAAAACTAATATAATCAGAACGTAGATGCCTGTGCAAATCATTTTGAAGTTCTTGATATTAGGTATATATAGACATGGTAAATGCTTTGTGATGGATTTTGCACTAACCTTAGTGGAATCTAGCACCTTTAATTTATATGGCATATGCAAATTATGGCAAGCTATATTTTTATCTCCATTTTATTAAATACTTTGGATATTAGTTGCAACTAAAGATAGAAATATTAAAAAAAAACTAAAGATAGAAATTAATTTTAAATTTAATGATTGATATGTAATTTTAAATGTATTTTTAGTTTCTATCTTTTATTAAAGATAGAAAATAGAAATGGTGTTTAGTAACTTTGTGAATTCTGTCGAACTAGTTATCGATATCACTATCAAGAGGTGATGTCGAAATTTGTATGCACTTGCACCCAACACCATGATTCAGAAATTCCTTCTATCATATCACAGATATATATTGAAAATTATATATGTATTTGCAATAAGGTTTTGACTAAATGCATTGCGTATAATCTTGATAATGGCTTCTGATAGAAACACTAGAAGAGAAAAAGAAGGAATTCTTTGGCATTACTCAATAGAGAAAGATGATTATTAGCAGTCAAATTTGACTAAATTCAGTGGACATAATCTTGAGTCTTGACAATGGTTTCTGATAGGAACACTAGAAGAGACCAATTAAGATGGTATTCTTTGGTATTACTCAAGAGAGAAACATGATTGACAGGCAAATATGGAGATTCTAACTGATAATTAATATTGATTATTTTCCCCACCCAATTGATAGTTTCGACATTAGATAATTTAAGTTAGGGTAAATTATTTATACCTACCTTAGGGTTCCACTCAAATACTTGTATCATCCCTTGAGTTTACTTATGCCTTCCTTTGACCATGAAACACCACTAGAGGGTTTGTTAAAGGAAGAGAGAAAATTAAGATGGATATGGATGTTTTACTATAAGCTAAGGTGCCCTTAATAATAAAAGTAACTCTGTTTTATTTTCTTCTTGAAGCTGTTTTCAACTTTTCATTCAGAAAACATTTAGATGGTGTTCGATAATGTAAGTAGATATTCAATCCAGCTTGTTCTGAAATGGAACATATAAAATGGCGTTCATTTAATTCCATGGCACATTTCAAAATGAGCTATGGCTGGTTTTGGAACACAAAATATTGTGCCATTTCAGCCACACCAATTTCTTGTGTTTTGGAATGAGCCACACCCATGCTCAATATTTTATCTGATTTCTCTCTCTTTCTCTCTCTCTTGTAGACTTTTGACTTTATTATGTTTAATTATTTATTAAATTATTCTATATACTTATATTACTTTTTATTATGTTTAATTAAATTTATATAGTTATTTATTAAATTATTTTATATACTTAAATTATTCAGTATATAACTTTCTATTTTTTTTTTTGCATTTTAAAGTTGGATTAAATTCGAACCCGAGCCAAGTCTATTTGAATTCCAATCCAAGGTCTCCAAATCCGATTAGATTTTGGATCGGATTCGAATCAAGTTTTCAAAATTGTTGACCCGGTTCTACTAAAACCCAGGAATTGGTCAAAATTGTTGACCTGGTCAAAACCATTCAACCCAGGTGGTTGGACCATTGACCTGTTCAACCTGGTGATCGGGTCACAGGTTTCACACTAAATGTGTATGCAAACTTCCAGAGGCCATAACTTTGTGCTCTAATATTCGATTGGGGTGTTATTTTTTATTTTGATAACTTTTCGAGATCTATGTGTCCCAAGGCATCGTTCCCCGCCACTTTTGTGGAAAATCCTTTTTTGCCTCAAATTGCACTTTAATATTTTTTACAAATAAAAGTTAAAAAATATAAGTTAAATATAAAATAATACATATATTACATATATAATATAATTGTATATTTTTTATTGATAAATTATATGTTTACTTATACATACATACATACATATATGTGTGTGTATAACTATATATACTTATATATAATGATGATGTGACATGGTTTGACCCATTGACCTGGACGATTGAACCGGTGACTTGCGATCCAAGGGCAAAAATCAGTTAAGCCTATTGGTCAGTTTTTAAAACATTGATGTTATGATGCTTTATTTGTATAAATTAATTTTAAAATTTCTTTTAATTAATTATAAAATATGATTCATATAACATACACATTGGAAATATATGTGTTGGTATTGGTAACATACACATTGGAAATATAACATACAGCAATGCAGAACAAATCATTTGTTGTGTCTCATCCAAAGCACAGCACACTACAGCCTATAGAAGGCAACACACCATGCTAGTATGATGTGTTCTGAGATGAGGTTATTTTGATGAATACCAGTTGATTGGTTACCACTTCTTTATGCCGGGGATTGGTTTATCGTTTGTTACATACCTTTTCAGCATCATAGTCGGAATGCATGTTAGTGAGTGGAATAACTTAACCTCAAACTACACGGTTGAGTAAGTCAATAGGGTAAACCCAAGGAAAGATCATAGAATTTCAATAAGGAGAGCTTATTTTGGCGCCTTGAATTCGAGCACTCCACTGATGGACACACATAACGAGCATTGTACTAAGTTTTGATTTTTTTTCCCTTCTCTATTCTTTCTTAGGGGTATAGGTAATTTACCCTTTAAGCATAAGGAAAAAATAGAAAACTTTCTTCTCTGTTTTTCTTGTGTAAATTATGTAACCTGTAAGCATCTTACATAAATACATTCAAATATCTTTTACATAATTACAGCAGCAAAGAGTTCTAACAAGTTAGGATTTATGTGCAATATATTGGTAAAATTTCCTTTTACCATGTTAGATTAACATTTAAGCTACTACTCTAGGAAGTAGCTCCAACAGATAAGAAATCTATGAATGGAACATTAGTCGTACTCTCTTTATCCTCAGCTTCCTGTTCCACCTCTTCATCATCTCTTCTTGGACTGTCTATCACTTCGCTTCCATTAGAGCTGCTGTTTACTTGGAGAAAATCGTAAAACTCAACTGGGCTATTCCTGTCTGCAGTTGATCATAAGGACAAGAACATCAGAGAAAACATCAAAATGCTAAGATCATCATTAAAAGAAATTGAAATCTGAAAGAGATGCTTGGGAAAAGAGGAAATTAAGAAATATATTTAATTACATACCCTCATTCAATCTTGTGCAACAACCATGAATATCTGGATGTAAGGCTTTGTGATCATGGAGATAGCTTTTCATGAATGGTGGATTCCCATATTTTCCACAAGAACTATTTTGCACCAAGGAAGCAAGGTTACTTAGACCCATCTGGGTATTCATCTGTTGTTTTGATAAGGATTTCCGCTCATTAATCAACGCTTGAACAGCTCTCTTTGTGTAAAGCCTTGATCTCTCTTTAGATCTACGTGCCATTATCACATGCCAATGATTCTTCACTGCATTATCAGTACGTCCAGGGAAAAGCCGTGCAATAACTGCCCATCTATTCCCATGAATACGTTGAGACGCAATGAGCCGTTCTTCTTCCTCTTCTGTAAAAGGACTTCGGTTGATTCTTGGATCCAATTGGTTAAACCATCTCAACCTACAACTTTTCCCTGATTGATTTTATACATTGATACGTTATTAGTTTTCAAATCGAAAAAGAAAACCCATTTCTCAGACTATGTAAAACCTTAATTAAAATTTAAAAGAAAGAAAAAAGGATATTTTCTTTTATATATACCTGATCTTCCTTGGAGCTTTTCAGCTATGGCGTTCCAGTTATGAGGTCCATAATGTTCCACCAATTCCCGGAGCTTCTCATCTTCGGAGGGCCTCCAGTGGCCTCTGGTGCACATCTGCACTTCTTTAAAGAAGAAGAAGAAGAAGAAGAAGAAGAAGAAGAAGAAGAAGAAGAAGCTAAGGTTGATGATGAACGTTTCTTATCCTGTCCTGTGCGGTCTAATTTTCTTTTCTATTCCTTTCTAGCTATATTCTTCTTATATTGGTAGCTCTAGTTCAGAACAGAAGAAGGATCTACTGTACTCAAAGTAATAAAAGGGAAAACAAATGGCAAAAGCTCGTACAGATAAACAAGAGGAGGCGGAGGATAATATATGTCAGACTGCGAAGAATAATAAATATTTTAAAACATTGTTGATCGATTTTCAGGACTAGTGTAGGTGAACAAGACAAGGAGGAAATTGCAAAAGATCCCCAAGAGAGTAAATGGTGGATAGGAGAAGTATTTCCGTTAGACAGGGTTAGTTTGGACTTGGAAATTAAGTTGCACCTGTTTTCGATGTAAACGTCTTAACAATGGCTTACTATCAAAGTAGCTAGATATATATAATTATCTACAGAGAGTTGATTGGTTGCGTGGTGTAGTTAATTCTGTTCCCCTTTCAACGTCTTTCCTATTTCCAACCTACTTAAACAACTTTAGTATTTTCTTTTTTCCTCTATCTATTTTGTTTTACCCAATTAACATTTGCTTATACGAATCATATAGACAAGAATTCCAAACGACCCAAGAATCTTAAGACAAGGAAACTCCGTGTTGCTTTTCTCCACATTCTGTTGATGCATTTATTACTTAATTAGCTCTTCTGGGCCTTGTTGATTTGAGTTTGAGAAATGAAACTGAGAAATACTGGGAGAAATGTGCAACCACCAATCCAGAGAGTTCCACATTTCACATGCAAGTTGGACGTTCTCAATGGGCTGGTGCAAGTAGGCCCGAGTCTGGTGATCAGGTCGAAGTCAACCCCAGCACAACCGTAAGTTGGTGAAACCTCAACCTTATTGGGTTAGGGTTAGGCAAGAAACCCGGCCCCAGTGGCAGCCCTAACCAATAAGATTAGTCCAAGTGGTAAGTATGTATGTACTGGGGTATCCATACTTGTTATAAGACTTATGACGTATATACGTATATACATGCACATTTTATATTTGTACATGTTTATAGTAGGTAGGTATATATATATGTATGTCGTTATTCTTGTTAGGACTGAAAGACTATAATGTGATGATGTCATACTGACATGTTGAGAGGTTTCTGGTTTTGTTTTCCTTTCAGACCAACTACCAATTAAGCAGCTTAAGGAACACAGAGCTGCACGTGGAGACTCGAGCAGCCCAACTGTTGGACTACTGCTTTTGTTTATTGTGATAAGTAGTTGGTATCTGAACTCTGAACTGCACCTATCAGCACCTAACGAGAGGGTCGATCAACCAGTTTATGTTATATAATTTGGACTAGCTAGTCTCTCTATTGATGGTTGCCTTACCCTTCTCTGAGCTGATGATCAGAGAGAGAGATTTACTTGTAAATTAAAGAAAGTTCTATCTCTTCAAAGTTCAGTTCTCTCTCTCTCCATCTGAGACGACAGTGTTGGATATTCACTCGTTACCCACATGGGTTTGCTTAATTTTTCATCAAAATGATTATATGTGCATCGAATTTATTGGTTCATGTATTATACAAACCCTTGATGAACTATTTTTCTTCATTATCACACATGTTTTACCTACTTTTCATCCATCCATTCATGATTTAATGGATGACCCGAAATTCAGAAACTCGTATTATTGTAGGGACAGAGTACACACTTGGCTTCATTAATTTCCTCCAAGTTGATCCCCAATTGGGGTCATATGAAGTTCAGCTCTGCTGACCATTTTCAATTGCAAAAGGTCTCAACAGAGACCATTCTTATCCAGCAAACAAGACCAGATTTCCCCATCAATGGAGTACATGGTTACAATCTGTGTGAAGCTCTTTCGTTTGGCTGGTCCCAAGGTGGCCTGTTAGGTGAACAGCCAACATAAACATGCAGTTTGTTTTCTATAACAACGGAAGTGGTCCGGTGTATGAAAACACCAGATCGATGTTTATAAAACTGAAGCTTAATTAGAAGTAAAGAAGAATCTTACTTGCAAACATGTTTGTACAACTCCTGAACCGTCAACACCTATCGATCTAAGTCATATTAAATATTCTTTTTGCATGCCTTCGTCGATTAGATTTCTAAGCTGTATACTTATTTCTAGGTACTACTAATCAATCCCTCTAGAAATTAACCAAACATATATATATATATATATATATATATATATATATATTTATTTCTTATTAGTATTATTGGCTAAATTAAGCATGCCCCCCGAGATTAAGAATCGGGGTTTCTGATTCCGGAAGTTACTGAAACTTCTCATCTGAAAAAACGGCTCCTGTTATCAAAGTTAACTTTTCAACCATTGAAAGCAATAGCAGTGTTTCTTAAGCTCATTCCAACGGTATACCTACCTTACCTAACTCGGCTATTTCCCAAATATCCTAATTTGTAATATCTTCATATACAGAATTATAGGCGGATTCATGGTGAGCATGTATAAATTCCTGGAAATTAACTAATCAAATGAGGTAAACTCACCATTGAGGCCATGTTTGGTTTGAAGTATCTTGTATGGGTTTCTCTACCTTTCCCTACTTTTTCCTTCAAACCAAACACAGCTAGCTTGATTGTAACTTAATTTTGAGCTTTTAGTATACATGAAAGAAATGGAAGGTCATGTTTGACAAGGATAATATGTTATGGAATAGATTTTCAACTTAATTACCATGAAGGAGCCTAACAAGTTCTATATATGCTTTGCTATTATATATTCTTTCTTTTTAATCAAATCCCTGGGATTTAATGTCACAATTTGGTAACGTTTGATGAGTAGAATGTTACAACGGGTATCAAGTGGGTTTGTTTCATACATCTAATAAATAGGCAAAAAAAAAAAACATAATGTATAAAGGAGGTTCAAATGGGATAAAATCTCTCCACTTATCCAAAGCGATTTGTCTAATGATGTGGAAAATTGTCATAATCCTGACCCGTGAGAAAAATATACTTTTAGGCTTGGTTTGTCTATGGTGCAATTTCATTTGCACTGGTGCAAAAGTATCGGAATACATATGCCTATATTTGGTTGCGGAAAAATTTTATTTGCACAAGTACAAATGCATGGGAGTGCAAATGAAAAGAATGAAATTTCTGGTTTAATTTTGTTTTAGGTTTTACCATATTCTACTTCAGGTCTTATTTTATTTAATTTGTACTGCAATTAAGAAAAATAGGGTAAATTTTGAAACAAAAATAAATCAGAATTTACACCTAAACCATTTGCACTACCATAATTTTGCATCAATGCAAATAAGTTTGCAGTGCATAGGGTAAAATTTCTGTTCTTTCTGGTTTATTTTTGTTTCGTTGCAATTGAATTAAGCACTGAAATAAAGTAATGTAAAACCTAAAGCTGCGTTTGGAAGTGGTCTAAATCTCGGTTCATTGTTATTTTACACTCCGGTCCAGTTTTGTGGCCATTTGGATGGAATGTAAAATAACAACAAACATTAGTGTAAACAACATTTTCGTTAAAATTTTACATTGAGAACCGATGTGAAAAATATATTGACTTTTTTGGTGTAAAAACCTCTTCGTCTTTCCATCGGTATAAAAATGCCAATAACGTCTCTCTCTCTCTCTTTCTCTCTCCAAGAACCATTGTGATGCAATTTCAAATGATCCCTTGACATTGCTGAAATGAAGAGAAGAACAAAGCTTGTTGTGATGGCAAAACCATGACGCAATGTCTGGGATTTCGAGATGGAATCAGTTAGTCGGTGGTGAAAACATGGCCATTGTTGGTATGAATCGAAGGGGAGACGGATTGAACTATGAACTAGTTGGTCAACAATGTAGATGAGTATATGAACCCAAGGATGTAAATCAGTCAGTCGGCAATGTAAACCTAGCCATTGTTGGTATGAATCAATTGGTTGGCGATGAAAACTTGACCATCATTGCCGCTGCTTAAATTAAGAGGAGAGGGATTGAGCTACATTGACATCGATCATCCAAACACACAAGAATGTAAAACGAATATAAGGCTGGTTTGCTTTTTACATTGACAATTCTGACTATTCTTAAAGTCCATAGGTGTAGTTTTGTATTTACATCACAAACAAACACAACCTAAAGAAAAACAAAGCAAAATTTGCATTCACATGCAATTGTACTAATGGAACTAAATTTGAATGGAAAAAAAACGGATTCTCAAGTGAAAAGGATTAGTGGAACTGATTAATAAAATACCTTTCATTTCCCATGCCAGCATCATCATCATAATCCATTATAAAATTATTAGTGCTTAAATCATTTATTACTAATTCTATCCATTTACTTTTAGGTCTACCCCTAGATCTTCTAACCCCTACCACATATAACAAATCACATTTTTTAATTGGAGTTGTTGGTGGTCATCTATGCACTTAACCAAACCATCTTAGCCTACTCTCTCTCATTTTATCACTCATTGGATACTCCTAAGTTTCTATAGATGGTTTCATTTTTTATCCAATCCTTTCTAGTTTTTCCATTCATCCATCTTAGCATTTGCATTTCTATTACACTAATTTTTTAAACACGTTTTTCAACTACCCAACACTTTGCTACATACAACATAACTGGCCTTAAAATTGTTTTATAGAAATTTTCCTTTAACCTAAGTGGTATTCTCCTATCACACAAAAGTCCAGATGCATCCCTCCATTTTGCACAATCTATTCTAATTCTCTTGGTAACACCTTCCTCAATCTCTCCCTTGTTATGAATTATTGAACCAATATATTAAAAAATGGTCACATTGAGTTATTTCTTGGTATGTAATTCTAAGTGTATCCTAATTTACACTCCTATTATTAATATATGTCATATAATTTATTTTAGTGCTGTTTATTTTAAAACATCTTGTTTCTAGGGCATTTGTCCATAAGCTTAGTTTTGCATTTAATCTTTCATTAGTTTTATCAATTAAAACAATGCCATTTTCACACAACATGCACCATAGAACTTCTTTCTAAATATGTTTATAGTAAATTCATTTATGTTCAGTGCAAATAGATAATGGCTAAGTGATGAACCTTAGTGAAGACTTATCATAACTATAAAAAGTCTCCCCCATTGGTGTTCTAACATTTGTTGCTGCCCTATTATACATATCCTTAATAAGGTCTATATAGCTATTCTGAACCCC